TCGGTTGTTTCTTTGACATCCATGTGAACACAATATCTCCCATGAAAAATACGAATCCAGTAGTGCTCCTTCGATTATCTATGTCTCCACCCCAATCACTGTCGTTATATCCAACAAGCTTGTAATCATTAGAAACTGAATAGGACAAGACAAAGTCAATTGTGCCTTTCAGATAGCGAATAATTCTCTTTGCGGCTTTAAAATGGGTGATTGTTGGAGATTCCATGTAGCGACTAACCAATCCAACTGCGTGAAGAATATCGAGTCTCGTGCAAGTTAGATAGCGTAGACTTCCCACCAAACTTTTGAAGAATGTTGGATCTACAGTTTCGCCTTCTTCATGTTTGGATATCTTGATCCCGTATTCTGTCGGTGTGCTTATTGGCTTACAGTTCTCCATCTTGAACTTCTTCAGTATATCCTTTGCATAGCTTTCCTGTGAAATGAAAATTCCATCCTTTTGTTGCTTAACTTCAATGCCAAGGCAGTACGCCATGAGCCCCATATATGTCATCTCAAATTCTTTCATCATCACATCCTTGAATTCATTAAACATGCTTGGGTTACTTCCGGTGAAGATCAAATTGTCCACGTAGAGGCACACGATCAAAATATTTCCATCTTTGATCTTGATAAATAGAGTATGCTCGTAGGGATATTTGTTGAAGCCATTCTCTTGGAAGTACTTGTCGATTCGGCTATTCCATGCCCTTGGTGCTTGTTTTAGCCCGTAAAGAGCCTTCTTCAACTTCAACACCTTGTCTTCGTGCCCTTTGACTTCATAGCCTAATGGTTGCTGAATGTAAACTTCCTCTTCAAGAACTCCATTTAGGAAGGCAAACTTTACATCCATCTGTTGTATCTTCCACTTGTTTTGAGCTGCCAAAGAAATGATTAATCTGATAGTCTCCAATCGAGCAACATGAGTAAATACCTCATCATAGTCAATTCCAGCCTTTTGACTATATCCTTTAGCAACTAGTCTCGCCTTGTGCCTTTCAATCTCTCCTTTGGCATTTTTCTTTGTTTTGTACACCCATTTGACACCTATTACCTTATGTCCCTTGGGAAGTGAGGTAAGTTCTCATATGTCATTCTTCTCGATGGCTTTGATTTCTTCATCCATCGCACCTCTCCATTTCTTTTCTTGTACTGCTTCTGGAAAGCTCACTGGTTCACAATCAGCAAACAGACAAAATAATGTAAGATTATCTTGTTGTTCAGTTACCTCATAGAGATCTCTAAGGCTTCTTGTATGTTGCACAACTCTTTCATTTTGACTCCCACTTGATGATGACGAAGGTGATGAGTCTCCTTGAGTGGTTGATTTTGGTGAAGTCGGTGGAGTTTCAAGCTCTTGTTGAGGTTCACCTAGTTGTTCCCTCATTGTCTGCTCATCTTCTTCAAACTGAGGAAAGAAATTGAAGTCATCTACACGAGAGTTAAAATACCATTCTCCTTCTTCGTTGAAGACCACATCTCGACTAATCACGATCTTCTTATTTTCTGGATTGTACAGCTTGTAGCCCTTCGAAATAGCATCATAGCCGATGAAGATAAAACTCTCGCTTTTATCATAAAGCTTCGTTCTTCTCTCGTCTGGTACGTGAACATGGGCTATACTTCCAAAGGTTCTCAAGTAGGAAATGCCAGGCTTTCTTCCACTCCATGCCTCTTGCGGTGTCTTTCCCCATACACTTTTTTTTGGAGATCAGTTTGACAAGTAGACTGCACACGATACTGCTTCGGGCCAAAATTCCTTGGGTAGTTTCTTACTTTTGAGCATGCTTCGTGCCATGTCGAGGATTGTTCTATTCTTTCTTTCTGCCACACCATTTTGCTGGGGGGATCTAGGAACTATCATTGGTCGACGAATTCCATTTGCTTCACAGAACTCTTGAAACTCCCTAGAAGTAAATTCTCCACCTCGGTCGGATCTCATGGCTTTGATCTTTCTACCGCTTTATTTTTCCACTGCTACTTGAAACTTCTTGAAGACTTCGAAAACTTCTGAATTCTATTTCAAGAAATATTCCCATGTTTTTCTTGAAAAATCATCAATGAAGAGAAGAAAATAGTTACTGTTACCAAGAGAGCTCGACTTGATCGGTCCACACACATCGGTATGGATGAGCTCGAGTGGCTTCTTGGCTCTTGTCTCTGACTCCTTTGGAAAGCTTTTCCTGAATTATTTCCCGACTAGACACCCTTCACAAAACGGTCAGGATGGTTGATGCGAGGTAGTCCCTTCACTATCTCCTTCTTAGATAACAGCTCTAGACCTCCAAAATTGAGATGCCCAAATCGAAGATGCCAAAGCCATGATGCATCTTTGTTGTAACCTTTCAGGCACTTTGCAACATCATTTTGTATATTGATTAAGAACATTCTACTCTTTCACATCGCACTTTAGCAATGAAGTTATTTTTATCATCTTTTATAGAAAGATTATAATTATTCATATGAATATCATAACCTTCCTCTACCAGTTGCCCTAAACTTAATATGTTACTTTTCATATTGGGCATATAGTAGACATTTGAAATAAATTGATGTCTTCCATCTTTCAAACGGATAAGAATGTTACCTCTCCCTTTCACTGCTATTGTAGAATCATCTCCAAACGAAACATTTCCACTTACTGACTCGTCTAGCTCCACGAACATGTCTTTCCTTCCGCACATGTGATTACTTGCACCACTGTCAAGATACCAGGAATTTGCTTGGCCACCATCAGTTTCGTTTCGTGCTAGAAGAAGAGTTTCTTTGCCATCTGTCTTTTCCTCCACGTAGTTGGCCTTCTCCTCAATTTTTTTGTTGGGAGCTCTACATTCTGAAGCATAATGCCCAAACGTTTGACAATTATAACATCGAACTTGAGATTTGTCATACTTTGAGTTTGGATTGATTATTCCACAGCCTCGTGTTGAGCTTTCTCCTTTCTCATAGTTGTTGTTGGAATTGTTATTGTTGTAATTTCAGCCTCGTCCACGACCTCAACTTCCACCTCGTCCATGGCCTCTACCTCAGCCTAGGCCACGTTGGTTTCTATCATTGCGTTGGCTTTCATGCATATCCTTGAGTTGCAGCTTGAGGAGTTGCTCAGTAAACCCATGCTTCTTCTTATGCTTCTCTTCGTATGCTTGCAATGATCCTTGGAGTTGCTCGATCGTCATTTCTTCAAAGTCTTTAGTTTCTTCAATCGTCACGATGATATGCTCAAATTTGGGATCCAACAAACGGAGTATCTTCTCTATTATCCTCACATCTTCTAACTTTTCACCATTTCTTTTTAATTGATTAGAAACAACTACTACTCTTGAGAAATAATCTGAAATAGACCCAGATGTTTTCATGTGTAAGGATTAAAATTTACCTCTTAATGTTTGGAGATGAACCTTCTTCACTTGCTTGGATCCTTTGTAAGAGGTTTGCAGCTTCTCCCACGCTTCCTTGCTAGAGCTTGCACTTAAAATCCTTTCAAAACAATCATCATCTAATGCTTGATAGATGAGGTAAAGAGCCTTCTTGTCTCTCTTTCTTGAATCCTTCAAAGTTGTCTTTTGATCCGGTGTAAGAGTAGCAAAAACATCATCATCCGCAGGCTCGTTATAGCCTTTCTCTATGATATCCCACCCAACTTGTGATCCAAGAAGTGCCTTCATTTTGATACTCCAATTGTCGTAGTTGTTGTTGTTGATTGTCGGAGTTGTTGTTGTTGATTGTCGGAACTTGGTATGGTGCCATACCATTTGCCATATCTCTCAATATAATGAGAATTTGCAAAATCCAATTGCACGTATGAATCCAGAACGCCAGAAAAAACCTTGGGAGAAACTTGGACAACTCAATCAAGGGGCTCCAACTTGGTGAGTCAAACTCGATTTTCTAGCAGCAGTCTTCCGGCGGTGTGTCAGAACTCAGATTGAGAAAATTCTGGCGGCGTCGGATTCCTCTCGTCGAGACATTCGATCTTTCCAACTCTCTCTAATGCCACTTTGTTGGAAATAAAAACTCACACAAACAACTTTTATTGAAACTAAAACAAATATTACAAGAGCACTCTCACTCAAAAACAAGAACTACAACTCACTCTTATAAGACTTTGCTTCTTCACTCACTTAGAAGCTCTTAATTTTTCTTGATGCTTAAAACTAAAATGGAGAGGGGTATTTATACTACTCAAGAACAATCCTATGCCACACAAATAAACTAATTTAAACCATTATAAATTCAACAAATACCTAACTCTCACCTAACTAAATTGATGTAAGCAATGACATCTTTACTTAAATGATGTAAGCAATGACATCTTTACTTAAATGATGTAAGCAATGACATCAATTTAATTTGGGTTTGGGTTTAATCTCTCATAATGGATCAAGTTTATGATCCAACATTTTCTTCCCTTTCGGACCCGATTGTTACTTGAATTCATGGTTTGAGGTCACTTACAATGAAACTTCAACCCTATCAAATGCCAACGATTCTATTGAAAAGAACAAACATGGAGGTCTTGAATTTTTCTTACGATCGCTTTGAGTTCCTCAACCCTCTCGTGAAGAGTTCAATAATTTAAAGAACTGAGTATAAGGTAAAGAAACTATATACAGTTATCTTCAAGCTTAACTGTATATTAAGATTATGGAAAGTGAAAAAAGGGGGAGAGACTCTTTTTGGGGGTTACATGAGTATTGCCTTAAAATTTAAAAGGAAACGTGTAAGAGAATAATTGGTGGGCACAAAGATTTTTTTTCGGAATAAAAGTGATTAAGAAATTTGAGATTGTGTATTAAAATATATAAATATTCATTATTAAACAATTTAAAACTTTAAATAAATATTAGCTTATATCTATTTTAAATTAAAAAAAAAAACAAATAATTTAGCTTTGCCATTATCACACACTTCGACCCAAAACCAGTTTTGAAACTACTGTAACAATAGTCTGAACTTGGGCACACACAAGAGAAGCTTCAATATTTTTCTCTGCAATTAATCTGTGGAGGTCGACAAAAAACCTGTATCAAACACCATGATTATGAGAAAAGTTCTGCTAATAATAAACAGTGTCATCCTTTGTATAGGTAATTGTGCAAGTCCACTTTTGATGCGCCTTTACTTCATCCATGGCGGTAAACGAATTTGGTTCTCCAGCTGGCTCCAGACTGGTGCTTTTCCCATCATCTTTCTTCCAATCGCTTGTGCTTACTTTCACCGTTCAAGGACTCAACCCAGTTCTCAAAACAAGCTTTTCTTTATGAAACCCTATTTGTTCATTGCTTCCGCCGTCATTGGAATCCTCACCGGCTTCGAGAACTACCTATACGCCTATGGGGTCGCTCGTCTTCCGGTCTCGACTTCATCTTTAGTCATTGCCTCACAGCTGGCTTTCACTGCGGGGTTCGCTTTTGTTTTGGTGAAGCAAAAGTTCACTTCTTACTCCGTAAACGCCGTGTTTCTGTTAACGATCGGAGCTGGCGTTTTAGCCTTGCATACGAGCGGCGACCGTCCCGCGAATGAATCGAACAGGGAATACGTTTTGGGGTTCCTAATGACCCTCGGAGCTTCAGCTTTGTATGGCTTTATTCTGCCCTTGGTGGAGCTGGCTTACAAGAAAGCAAAACAAGAAATCAGCTACGTTCTTGTGATGGAGGTACAGACGGTGATGTGCTTGTTCGCTACCGGCGTTTGCACCGTTGGCATGCTTCTTAACAACGATTTCAAGGTTATTTTTTCTTGTCTCTTTCCGGCTAAAGTATATTCCATTTCCATCAAATGAAAATCGAAATTTAACTCACTACATATTGAGTTGTATTTTGCAGGTGATTCCCAGGGAAGCAAGGGAATACGAGCTCGGGGAAACAAATTACTACGTAATTGTGATTTGGACCGCAATAGTAGGGCAGTGTTTCTTCTTGGGAGCCATAGGAGTAATCTTCTGTGCGTCGTCTTTGTTATCGGGCATCATAATTGCTGTTTTATTACCGGTAACTGAGGTTCTGGCTGTTATTTTCTACAATGAAAGTTTCCATGCGGAGAAGGGAGTGGCGCTTGCACTCTCACTTTGGGGCTTCCTTTCTTACTTCTACGGCGAGATTAAGGAGTCCAAGAAGAACAAACCAGCCCTTCAAACCGAGATGGCCTCAGCTTCTGATGGACAGGAAAGCGTGTAAAAATTTAATGGAATACACAAATGTATGAAAAAGCAAGTTTATCATAGCTAAGTTTTATCTTCTATTTTTGAATTTAACATCATGCCTTGATGGTTTATACAACACACATATAGATCTAAATAGACCTATTAGCATATATATGAATCTCTTGCTTTTTTCTTCTTCTTCTTTTCCTCCGCTTTAAACTTATGTAATGAGAAGTACAGAAAAACCCAGCTAAACACCCGGGGTCAAAAGGAGAGTCCCAAAGCAAGTAGGCAACAATATTGGGATTGTACAGGCAACCAGTCTTCACTATCGCTTTCTTCTGAAAAAGTTTTGTTTTTCTGGTTAAGTGGATGCCTGCTGTGTGATTATGATAGAAGTCGATGCAACAGAGGACCTTGAATTCAATTGGGGTAAAAAACAGGGGAATTGGTGGGAAAAAGAGAGATGTTCAGTTTAATGAATCATTTACTTCTGAACTTAACTTGTATAATATCATCACAAAATCAATATTTTAGGATGATTATAAGATATAAATTTTGGATATTTTGAAAGCTTAGTCATTCAATTATATTTTTATTTTTTTAAATTAAATTAATTATTTATTTGAAATAATATTATTTTTAAATTATCTATTTAATTTTAAATAATTTAAGTTTAGGGTAAATTGTACGTTTACTGTCTAGCTATTACTTTGTTTCCATACAATACTGTTTAAAATTAAATATATAATTTAAAAATAATATATAATATTATTTCAAATAAATAATTGTATGTCGTTTTCTAACAACATATTCATGAATCGATTTTAACATCTCTCTCTGTCAATGTCAACTCATTGTCATCAATAAAAAACATGTTAGCCTTAAATGCATTATTATTTTCCATGTCCATAATAATACTCAACTAAGGACCTTTCAATAATAATCATATTGTTATATGAACATTATTATCTTTTAGTGTGTTTAATACAAAGAAATATAACAAAAGAAAATAACGATAATGCATTTATTCAATAAATACGGTAAATAAAAGTATCATTGCAATCATCTCATGATTAGTATTTGGGCATATTCTAACAGTCATGAAGATGTTATGTCGAATCATGATTTCTTATAACTTAGTTGACAATGATATATTATTATATGTCACTTATTGTGTGTAATATTAGAATGATTATAATAATTAATGTTAATGTTACAGGAACCTATAAGGTCACACCTCAATATTGAAATGAATAATTTATAAATGAGTACACATGTAAAATTTTACTGTACATTAATAAAATGTATAATTAGCATTAATAAATATATTTGATATATGCGTTTGATTTTAATTATATAGAAAATGTTAAATTTATATTAAAAGAATATAATTAAGGTAATTATATTTTAAATTAAATTCAGCACAAAACCCTAAGGTTTAGGGAAACACGATATAAATAGAATATGATGGTCTAGCAGTCGCTTAGTCGTTTTGGATGAAATTTCTCAAAATAGTTTTGGATGAAATTTCTCAAAATAGTTTTGAGAAAAGAAATTGCTCTAAACCTAGTGAATCGAGTAGAGGCTAAGATGTTTTCGTGGAGGCTAAGAATTTGATATGCTCGTGACTGCACTGCTGATTTATTGTTATTCAAGGAACCCAAGGTGAATTAAGTATCTATTCTTTCCGATTTCCGATTTCCGATTTCCGTACCTGGATCACTGGTGAGATCATCGGATAATTTTTCCATTGTGCTATAGGGTGTATCAGTGATCCCAACATCTCCATCTCTCTACCTACCTACCTATCTATTTATTTATCACCCACTCCCTCACACTTTCTCTCTCTCGCTCTCTCTCTCTTTCATTCTCTCCCACTCTCTCCCTTTCTCTCTCTCATTCTCGCCCACACTCTCTCTCACTCTCTGCCTCTCTCGTCCACTCTCATCCACCCTCTCCCACTCACTCATATACACTCTCTAAAAATTTGAATTATCATATATTTTAGATTTTTTATGTATTTGTTTATTGAGAATATGTTTTTGTCCCCCTATTATTTTATAAATTCAAATTTGTCCCCTAGCATATAATCATGCGTCTGTCTATGTTTTTAAAAGACACAATTATTCAAATTCGAAACCTCTAAGAAAACAACACTCTATTTTATCAGTTAAATTGCTTAATGAGTTCTAAGAATGACAACTTTTGAATTATCTAAATATCCAAATCTTATTCAACATTATATAAGAAGAAAATGTGATTCAAAATTTTATAAAAAACTCCAAAATTACAATAGAAAAGAAACCAATTCGAACCAAACTTAATTCAACTGTCCAAACTTGAAACCCCGATTCATAAGAAAATTGCATCAAATGAAGGAAATTCAAATACAAATATATTGGATTGACAATCTCATAATTTTTTCATTTAGATTAAACTAACTTCCCATCGATCTCAAACCACTAGGCTATTCAAAAAATATGACCAACTTCAAGTATCTCTTTAATCAGTTTGTTATCTTTTTCGATCTTGTCATTACAACAAAATTGGCTTTTTGCGTCGTTTTTTTACCTATAGCTGCGTTTTTAAGCGCTACTAAAAACACCTGCGATGTTATGACAAACCCCGCAAAAAGCGCTGCTGAAAATAGCGCCGCTAAAGTTCGCGACGTTTGTTAACGAAAAACGTCGCAATAGGTTCTGAGTCAAACGCCGCAATAGGTGTAGAGATTTAGCGGCGTTTTTATCACAAGCGTCGTAATAAGTGTTGATATTTAGCGACGTTTTTAGGATACAAACGTCGCTAAAAGGACTGGTATATAGCGACGTTTTTAGGATACAAATGCTGCTAAAAGGACTGGTATATAGTGACATTTTTAGGATACAAACACCGCTAAAGGTCTGGTATATAGCGACGCTAAAAGTCTTGTATATAGCAGCGTTTTTAGGATACAAACACCGCTAAAGGACTGGTATATAGCGGCATTTTTAGGATACAAACGCTGCTAAAGGTCTGGTATATAGCGACGTTTTTAGGTACAAACGCCGTAATAGGTGTTGATATTTCGCGGTGTTTTTTGTCACAAACACCGCTAAATGTATGGTATATTACGACGTTTTTTATTACAAAATCCGCTAAATAACACAGAATTTAACCAATTAAAAAATTATTGTCTATTACCCCAAAGCTATTTTTTCAACCTATTCCATTATCCAACAAACATGACAACAATAACATCAAACTTTATATCCATAACAAGCAACATCAAATCCAATATAATAAATAAAAGTTTTCATTAACGTAATATAAGTTCAGTTAAACACGGTTCAGTAACATTAACAGAATGCTGATAACATAAATGAGATTATAATGGTGGATTTTGAGGTTGAGTTTTCTATATCATATGCATCATATCATTGAGTCGTTTTTCAAATTCTGCACATCTCTGCTAATATGCTACTTCTCTCTGTGATACCGCTACTTCCCTCTCTGCTTCTACTGCTGCTCTCTCTACTTCCCTTGCTTCATTTTCCGCTTTCATGTTAGCCATTTGTTGATCCATCTCAGCCAACTTTTGTTTTAAACGACTAACTTCTAATTGGGAAGATTGAGACTGTGATGACATGTACTGTGATAAACTGGATCTAAAATATTTGGTGGGAGTAACGAATGATCCTTGACAGTGCACCCGACCATATCTTTCAAGACCCAAAACGTCATTAATAGCTTGGTTTTCAATGTCATCATCATTAACAAGACCTTGACTCGAAGTACTAGCATGATACTCCGCCCTTTTCTCCCTCAAATATAAATTTAAAACATCTACCCAATAAACGTACCATAATTTCTGCAGCTTTAGCAGTCATAGGAGTGACATCCTTCTTCTTATGTGTCATGTTGAATAGTTGGATTCGACCAACTTTAGAACCAGATGTATTTCCCTATAATGTACTATAATATAATTACTATGAGTTAGTATGTTCATGGAATACAAACAACTATGTCAATAATATATTATATCTCCTCATTAGCTATACAAGCAAAGCTCTTCGATCCAGCCGTGTGTGTAAACTTTTGTTATTACCTGCTAGCAACACCAACATGCTCTCGGTCCTATAATGTCAAACAACAACTTTTAATGATGATTTATAATTCATTACAATTATTTCTGAAAAGTACAACATACCTGTCCTTTTTGTGAACTCCAAAATCTGACTGCATCTTCCCATTGGTACCTGAGCATTCCAGGTGGGACTGTTTGCAGCTTCTCTTCAAGGATGAGATCATTCTTGAAGTATTTCTTCTTTAAGGAGCTCTCGTGGTCCCTCCATCTCTTCCCTAACGCTTGCTTCACATAATCGTCAGAGACCTCTAAAGAAAATTTCTCCTATATAACAAATAAGTGTGCATCGTAAGTATAAATTAGTATTGAATTTCTATAGAGTATCTATTATGATAGTTTTATTACCTTAACAAAATCCAACGGTTGATTTTTGTTACTATTAGGCATTTCGCGCTATGACTCATAATTGATCGGTAACAGATTCGCATTACGTCCAACTATGCCTAAGTAACCTGCTAGAAGACGTGCTTCTGGGCCAATATGTTGACCTGCATCGTTTCTTGAAACTTTGACACGATGCCCAGGAGGAAGTTGGTATAATTCCTTCAAAGTTGTACGTCCTCGAGTCTTGTGCGTTCTAGCATTTTCAACTATATAAGAAATTATTAAATGTCAGTTTTGAAAATAAACAAAGTAGTAAATAAAGTTTCGAAGATTACCTTGAATTTCTACTTCTTCTTTAACAGTTTCAGGAACTTCGGAAGACTCAGGTGCATTTGATTCCTCATTTTTTATTTCTTCATGGTCTTCAGAAGCTCGAGCAACCCGTAAATCAGTTATTTTTCTCCTCAGCATGATATTTGTAATAAAAAATGAATTAATTAATGAATATATTGAAAGACAACGTGTTAAAGGTTATAACATTATAAATAAATAAATTTAGATCTAAATCTTATGATATTCTTATGTAATGTCAGTTGTCATAAATATCTTTATCAACGTCCTCTCGAACCCATTGAAATTGTGTTGTATTTATGATAGTTTCATCTAAGTTTTGTGGTAGTAGAGGTAAACATTCTGATCTTGTTTCAATTTCATCTCTACTTCTATCCCCGATGTCTATCAAGTCTCTAGGAGTATTACGGAGCACAACATACCAACCGTCATCCATTGGATCATGACAGTAAAATACTTGTTTGACTTGAGAAGAAAATA